GCTGCAATGACCACCAAAGACTCAAAAAATATCCTATGACAGTATTACATCCTTCCATTGTGAAACTCCCTGCCCTGGAGGAGGTACTGAGCCTGCCTGCCTGAATCTGAGCATATATAATCTCGAGGTCTGGGGACTTGGAACACACCACCACCACCGCTGGACATATCCAGAGGAGGATCAGAACTTCCACAGGACTACTGCTTTCAATTTGTTGATCTCATTCAGGTCAGACCCACCATCAGAGCCCAGTATTGACACATCAATGACAACACATATGAGAACAGTCAAAAGTTTACAATGTAATAAATAATGAATTGAACTCATGCATGCTATCCTTTTGTGGTCTGAGTGGGATTGTAGGCAACCAGTAATTTGTAAGCATCTGTGATTCTGTTATTTATTTTTATGGCTTCAATATGGCATCATGTTGCAACACAAGAATTGAACTAAAAAATGTATGGAGCCCTCTGCTGTTTATCTGAGTTCTCATTTGCCTCAGCAGGTTACCTCAGACAATGGTCTGATCTAAAACAAACACCACCAAAAAAGTGCTTCACAATAGACAATTATGATCTAATCTGCCTTAAAGGGACATGTATTTTTCCCTCTCACATCCTGAGATGCAGCCTAGAAGAAGAAAGGCAGTCTGGTAGAGACCTAGACAAGTCACCTAGACTGACCCATTGGCAAATAAGGATTGAGATCTCAGAAGCAGATAGGATTTCTGAAATGTGTAAACTGCGTGTTTACGTGGAAAATTTATCACCAGAGCTCAGCTGTGTTCATAGGGTAAATGCTAGTCTTCCATTAGAAAACCGTGCAGGTTGCTTTAATTTCCCTTTCAGTCTTCAGAGAGAACATATTGTCCCTTTGCCCTTTCTGCCAGAATCATTACATCACACCACATCATTTGCTGCTGCATATAGGTTATTCTGAATTTAATTTGTGTGGGAATGGCATTGACGGGGAGCAAGTTAGCACTGGTGTCCATCTGGAATGGCAGGAAGGACTGATGGGAAGCCCTCTGTTGAGTAGCTTGTTGCCTACAGCATACATCCCCATGGGCTGCTGTTGCAACAGCATAGCCAGTAAGACGCTTGTCAGTAGTGATCCTTGGTTAAACAAGACTTGAAGTAGGACTTGCTTTCTTTCCCTTGCTATTCATTTACATTTTGGTATTGCACAAAATTGTCTGCAACATAATCACCATAAAAAGTGGGCCCCATGATCAGCCTGAAAAGATCAAATGTTTAAGTAAGGAAGCTTTTCAGTCACTTCTCTAAAAAATGTTACAGACACCATCCTGATCTCAATAATTCTACCATAAATGTCATCAATATTTGGCTGAGTAGGTGAGCAATAGGATTTCATGGCTGTGGGAACTAGGATGATGCACATGGAAATCACCCTTTAAGAAACTGTGACATGGTATTTACTTCTTCTTTGTATTGGACTGATTCTGAATCAAGCAGCAGCCAAGTCTCCTTATTCATATCTGATTTTAATTTGAAGCTTTACCTAATAAAATCAAGGATGAGGAAATACCTACAAACAGATAAATATTTTTTTCCCAGAAGTCTTTAGATAGGATTTTAACATACTTACAGAAACTAGAGGTAGATACAATCTAGCTAGTCAATCACTTCTGTGCAACCTGGAAATGTCTTCCTTTCTTCCTTTGACGTGTCACAAAAATATATTTTTTCTAATGTGTAGAGATAAACTGCAAAAACTTGGTAGAGTTACTTTAAAACAACCCCAGACCTTCTGTGCATGTCTCAGATTCTCCCACTTCATCTGTAGTTTAATAAGTCTCGGTCTCTTGCCAGCTTGTAAAAGGCTGTTGCTGCTTTCTACTCCCACACTATATTTCATTTCTGTTTGATAAAATTCTTTCTGAGGGAGACTTTCCTTCATTCCAGCTGAGCATCTGAGTATCAGCCTGAGCAGTAAGCTTGAGTTACTCTTACAAAAATCAACTAACAGCATCCCACCCTGTAAGATAATAAGTTAAATATGCCAAGGAGTAGAAGAGGGAGGCAGTCACATAGAAAGCTCTAAATAGGCCCATTTACATGGTCAAGACCTCTATACTTGCCTCTGAAATTGTGCAAAGCATTTGACAATGTCACTCATGACATCCTTGTCTCTAAACTGGAGAGACATGCATTTGACAGACAGAACACTTGTCGTGGATAAGGAATTGATAGGATGGTCAGTCTCAAAGAGTTGTAGCCAACGGTTTGATATCCAAGTGCAAATCAATGACAAGTGGCATTCCTCAGGGGTTGGTATGGGAACTGGTGCTATTTAACATCTTTGTCAGTAACATGAACAGTGGAAATGAATGCACCCTCAGCAAGTTTGCTGATGGCACCAATTTCTGTGGTGCAGTGAACATGCTAGAGGGAAGGGGTGCCATCCAGAGGGACCTTAACAGGCTTGAGACATGGGCATCTGCAAACCTCATGAAATTCAACAAGGCCAAGAGCAAGGTCCTGCACCTATGTCAGGTCAATTTCAAGCAGAAATACAGTCTGGGCAGAGAATGGATTGAGAGCAGCTCTGAGGACAAGGACTTCTGGGGATGTTGGTGGATGAGAAGCTTGACATGACCCATCAGTGTGTGCTTGCAGCCCAGAAAGCCAACTATGTTCTGGGGTGCATCAAAAGAAATGTGATCAGCAGGTTAAAGGAGGTGATTTTGCCGTTCTACTCTGCTCTTGAGACACCCCACCTGGAGTACTGCATCCAGCTGTGGGGTCCCCAGCACAGTAAGGACATTGACCTGTTGGAGCAAGTCCAGTGGAGGGCCACAAAGATGATTAGAAGGATGAAGCACCTCTCCTTTGATGAAAGGCTGAGAGACTTGGTACTGTTCAGTCCGGAGAAGAGAAGGTTCTGGGGTAACCTTCATGTGGCCTTTCAGTACCTGAAGGGAGCCTACTAGAGGAGTGGAGAAGGACTTTTTACAAGGGCATGTAGTGTTGCCTTTTTCTCTGATCCTAGAATTATGAGCCAGATACGGTTAAGGGATAAAAGGGTTTTTACCTTGATATTTAATAAGGATCCTTATGGTGCAACAATTCGTCAAAGTGGAATACACCGAAATGCGCACATCTGGTATGCCACATTGCCTTAGATTGCAAGATAATGTGTGTATTCTATTTGCTATCTGTTAGAGGTGGAGCAGTTATCTTCTGTTAATTGGGCGGTTTTCTTTAGCTCTTCCACAAACCAATTCTCCCTCTGGGGAGATATCTTCTGTTAATGAGTCATTGAGTGTCACTGCATGACTGATAAAATTACATCATCCCATTGTGAGATGCTCTGTCCAGGGGAAAGAGCCAAGCATTCCATCGTGGATATAATCTGAGATTTTGGGACACCAGGGCGGCCTTTGTCCCACTGGATTCCCAGAGGGGTAGCTGTCTTCTCCACTGGATTCCCAGAGGAAGACCAGGCCCATCTACACCACAACCGAACCTTCAGAGGAAAACTCCACCCTTCTACAGGATCACTGCTCCAACAGAACGACACCTGTCACTGCAGGAGGACTGCAGCCACCATCCAATTGGACTGCTACGAACATCCTGACCCAAAGGATGTCAGGTCGGATTCTTACTCTGTCAGTGGTTTTTTTTGTTGATGTTTATACTATTACATTTGTATTTTTTAGTTTTTCTAGTAAAGAACTGTTATTCCTGTTCCCATATCTTTGCGTGAGAGCCTTTTAATTTCAAAATTATATTAATTTGGAGGGAGGGAGTTTACATTTTCCATTTCAGGGGAGGCTTCTGCCTTCCTTAGCAGACATCCATCTTTTTAAACCAAGACACACCTATACAGTTTTATAGACCTTGCAAATTAGCATATCTGACAAAGATTCCCAAATGCGAAGTTTAAATGAATGACATCTTCGTATTCTAAAGTATTTCCTCCAGATGGGGCTTGAACCTAGTTTACAAAATATGTTCCAGAGAGAGTCTTGATTTCTCAAGACAGTGTAAGGCGTTCCAGCCTCCAACTTTGAGGCCTTTAGGATGTTTGGTCTTCTTGCCTAGTAGAATACCAGGACTAAGCTGAGGCTGAGATATCAAGCTAAAGAATAGCTGTTGCATATAGGTAAAACCTTAGAAAGGAGAGGCCTTGTAAAATCATGGATCAGGCCTGCTACTTCAGCTAAGCAGAAAAGGACTACGGGAAAGTGACTCAGCTGAATTAGAGGTAGAAAAACAAGTTATGTAACCATTGTGTGTTCACATCGTGTTGTATGGTGGTTGGTAGAATTATATTTGTTATGATTTAAAACTGTGTAGCTGATAACCAGCTAATTGCTTTAAAAGGCCGGGTTTTTGAAACAAAGCAGCTCTCCTTTGCACCTGCCTGGGGACTCTACATCACTACAGACCCTCACCTCACAAATTACAAGTACGTATGCTAAGAATACTGAGAATACATAAAAGGTATATTAAAAGAAAAGGCAAAAAATCATCATGGCATCAATAGTGATAGGATGAGGTGGGAGTGGTTTCAAACTGAAAGAGAATAGGATTAGATTAGATATTAGGAAGACTTTCATTACTGTGAGGGTGGTGAGGCACCGGAACAGGTTGCCCAGAGAAGCTGTGGATGCCCCATTCCTGGAATTGTTCAAGGTCAGGTTGGATGGGGCCCTGAGCCAACTGGTCTAGTGGAAGGTGTCCCTGTCGATGTCGGGGAGTTGGAATGAGATCATCTTTAAGGTCCCTTCCAACCTAAACCATTCTATAATTCTATGAATTTTTGAGAGTGGTGTTTCTGGCCCATAAGACCACATGCCATGGGTATTCTTGAAGACATGAGCCAGCACACAGTAGTTGCTGTGGCCGGTGTGCACTGTCCTGGGTAACCTTAGGGCTGTGCCACAATGGAACATATAAGTAGCTCTGGGAAAGCACTGGTTTAAGCCACGCTGGTTGAATTTAATGTCTTCTTTTTCCTCTCCGTGCTTGCAGGTCAGAAGATTCTTCACCACAGAAGTGATGTCTTAGAAACTGTAGTCCTAATCAATCCCTCAGATGAAGCAGTTAGCACTGAGGTAAGTCAGAAATATTTCACTGGATGTGTCATAAAAGCTTTGTTAAGTGGACAGGTTGAGAGAAGCTCCTAACTGCAGACAAGAGGACAAGGTAGGAGCAAATATAATCAAAAACATCAAAAAAGCCCTTGATTTTTTCCTGTTTTCCTGGACTTCTGATAAAGCTTCAAAGGCATAGGACAGAAACATACCACTTAGCCAGCACTCATTTCCTCATAACACACCAAATTCTTTTCTAGATGAAGTGAAGACAGCTGTGGTGAAGCTACAGCTGGTTTTCTTCTGTTCCTCCATTGTTTGGTAGCTTTGGCTGCCTTTTTTGCATATGAAAAAGTGCCTGAAATGAAATCTAGTTCCTTGTGATAAATTTAGGTCCTCAAGAAGAATGACCATCTACGTGGTGGTGATGCTAGATTGATCTATGTGATCTGTCCTTCAAAAACTGTATGGCATGATCAATGGACTCTGAAGAGTGCACCAGAAGAGTTCTGTCAATTCCTCATGAACTTGCAGAGTAGAGCCAAATAACTGAGGATGTAGTTCAAAGAAAAAATTGACAAATTTAGCTAGTGATATTGAAGGTTGTAAAAATTAGTGATAATTACATTGCTAGCCAGTGCTGAGAAGCACTGACATAGTACAATTTCTTTTGTGGAATGAAATTACTCTGTGTGGTGATTTGAGAGTTGCCAGATGCCAGACACCCACAAAATCCATTCACTCACCCTCCTCTGCTACAGCTGGACAGAGGAGAGAAAATTTAACAAAGGCTTCATGAGTTGCGATAGGGATGGGGAGAAAACACTCCAAGGGCAAAACAGGCTCAACTGAGAGATTTAAAGTGAATTTATTACTAAAAAAGTCAGAGCAGGATAATGAGAAGTAAAATAAACCCTTAAAAACACCTTTACACCCCCCCCCCCCCTCCCCAGCTTGTCCCTCCTTCCCACTGACAGTGCAGGGACACACGGAGTGGGAGTTTTGGTAATTTATTACCGGTAGTTTCTCTTGCTGCTCAGGGAGACAAGTCGTTCCTCTGCTTCACCATGGGGTCCCTACCATGGGAGACAGTTCTCTGAAAACTTCTCTGATGTGGTTTCATCTAATGAGCAACAGTCCTCAGAAAGCTTCTGTAGCATGGGTCACTCTTCCACGGGGTGCAGTCCTTCAAGGACAGGCTATTCCAGCCTAAGTGCAGGGCCCCTCTCTCCATGGATCTCCCACAGGATTACAGTATCCTCCAGGCATCCAGCTGCTCCAGCATGGGCACCTCCTTCATGGACTGCAGGAGGACAGTCTGCTTCACCATGGTCTTCACCACAGGCTGCAGAGGAATCCCGGCTCCAGTGCCTGGAGCACCTCCTCCTCTTCCATTTTCACTGACCTTGGTGTCTACATAGTTGTTCTTCTCATGTGTTCTCACTCTGCTCTTCTCTGGCTGGAATTAAAACTGCCCAATTTTTTTGTTTTTCTTTCTTCTTAAATATGTTATCACAGAGGCGTTACCACTATCGCTAATTGGCCCATCCTTGGCCAGTGGCATGTCCACCCTCAGAGACATCAGGGATTGGCTCTGCCAGACTTGGTGGAAGCTTCTAGTATCTTCTCACAGAAGCCACCTCTGTGGCTGCCCCCCAATACCAAGAACCAGGCCATGCAAAACCAACACACTCTGCTTGCAGTACTTTGTCAAAAATTCTACTTATTTACCAACATGAAGTGATATCAAACACAAACAGGAAGAAACTTTCATGGTTTGACCCCAGCAGCAATTAAGTACCAGGTTGTTAGGATCCAATTATTAAAAGATGCCTCCACCCAAATTAAGGTACAAATGTGACCATATGCCAAAGTAAATAGTATGGATTTTATTTAACAATAAATGAGGGGGGGGGACAGGGGAAGGAAGAGAGAAAGAGACAGATTAAGTAGAGAGATAGCCACCACCATGTGGGTCCCTGCATCATCCTGCTGGCTTTTCTTCTTCTGGTCTTCTCAGTGGTGGGGGTCCACTGGTTTTCTTCTGGACGTACCACTTATACCGTCCAAGTCCCAGGAATCCACAGAGCATAGATGGTGTTCCCACAACCTGGGCTGGCATGAGTACAAGGACTTCCTTTCTCACAGTTTGCCATGGTAGGAATTTTTGTCTAAATAGGTTACCCACATCTGCCTCGCCAGGCCTGGCATCTTCCTTTTCTTGACATCTGCGCTTATCACAAATTTCTACACTACAATTTTGTTTAATGTCCTAATCCCAAACATTCTCCTCCATTTAGGCCTGAAATTAACACCTTCCTGTTTGCCAGATGTGCCTGTTTTGGTGGCTTACCTTTTGAGAATTTCCTTCTTTGACAGTGTTTTGAGACATTTCACTGCATTCTTTAAGTCTTGACACATGCAGCCACTCACTCACTCCACACTGGGGAGGAAAAAGAGAATCAAAAAAAAAAAAAAAGTAAGTCTATAAGGACAGTTTAATAATCAAAACATAATAAAATACAATAAAATAATAAAATAATAGTAACAATAATAAGAGTAATGAAAAGGATAGAGAGAGAATAATAAAACCCAAGAGAAAGAAGTTATGCACAATACAGTAGCTCATAATCTTCTGACCAATGCCCAGTTAGTCCCCTCCTGGCCAACTCCCCCCAGTTTATATACTGAGCATGACGTTCTGTGGTATGAAATATTCATTTGGCCAGTTCAGGTCAGCTGCCCCAAACTGCAGTCTTTATTCCTACACGTCTCAAGTGGATGGACTACAATATGGGGACTGAAGGAGCAAAGTCCCTCCCACTGTAAGAGAACATCAGGTCTGTGATAGCCTAAGGAACTTGAACACATATGAGTCTATGGGATCTGATGAGATGCATTCCAGAGTCCTGAGGGAATTGACTGATGTAGTGACCAGACCACTCTCCATGATATTTGAAAAGTCATGGCAGTCAGGTGAACAAGATAACAGAAAAATTGCACCCATCTTAAAAAGACTAGAAAGGAAGACCCCAGGGACTACAAACCTCGTCTTTGTGCCTGAGAAGATTATGGAACAGATCCTCCTAGAAGCTATGCTAAGACACATGGAGGACAGGGACGTGATTTGAGACAGCCAGCACAGCTTCACCAAGAGCAAGTCCTGCCTGACCAATCTTGTGGCCTTCTATAATGGAGTGACTACATCAGTGGACAACAGAAAGGGCTACAGACGCCATCCATCTGGACTTCTGTAAAGCTTTTGATACAATCCCTCACAACATCTTTCTCTCTGAATTGGAGATATGGATTTGATGGGTGGGCTGTTCAGTGGATGAGGAGTTGGTTGAATGGTCACATCCAGAGGGTAGTGGTCAACAGCTTAATGTCCCGATGGATACTGGTGACAAGTGGTGTTCCTCAGGGATCTGTATTGGGACCAGTGCTATTTAATATCTTCATCAATGACATAGACAGTGGGATTAAGTGTCCCCTCAGCAAGTTTGCAGATGACACCAAGCTGAGTCATGTGGTTGCCAAACCTGAAGGACAGGATGCCATTCAGAGGGACCTGGGTAGGATTGAGATGTGGGCCCATGGGAATCTTATGCGGTTTAATAAGGCCAAGTGCAAGGTGCTGTACCTGGGTAGGGGCAACCCCTGGTATCAATACAAGCTAAGGGATGAATGGATTGAGAGCAGCCCCGCCAAGAAGGATTTGGGGATGCTGGTAGATGAGAGGCTGGAAATGAACAGGCAATGTGCACTTGCAGCCCAGAAAGCCAACCATGTTCTGGGCTGTATGAAAAGAAGCATGACCAGAAGGTCAAAGGAGGTGATCCTGTCCCTCTGCTCCACTCTCGTGAGATCCCACCTGGAGTACTGCATCCAGTTCTGGAGCTCCCAACATAAAATAGATGTAGACCTGCTGGAGTGAGTCCAGAGAAGGGCCATCCAGAAATGCCAGTAGGATGGAATGCCACCCAAAGGGACCTTGACAGGCCTGAGAGGTGGGTACGTGCAAACCTTATGAAGTTCAATGACACCAAGAGCAAGGTCCTGGACCCGGGTCAGGGCAATCCCAAGCATAATATAGGCTGAGCTGATGTGGACTTGGGGTTGTTGATTGACAAGAAGCTTGATGTGACCTGAGAATGTGCACTTGCAGCTCAGAAAGCCACCTATATCCTGGGCTGCATGAAAAAAAGCATTACCAGCAGATTCAAGGAGGTGATTCTCCCCTTCTGCTCTGTTCTCGAGAGACCCTACCTAACCTAGAGTACTGCATTCAGCTCTGGAGTCCTCAGCACAGTAAGGGCATCCGCCTGTTGGAGAGAGTCCAGAGGAGGACCATGAAGATGAGAGGACTGGAGCACCTCACCAATGAAGATGGGCTGAGATAATTGGGACTGCTCAGCATGGAGAAGAGAAGGCTCCTTATAGTAGCCTTTTGGTATCTAAAGGGAACCTACAAGAAAACTGGAGAGTGACTTTTTACAAGAGTATGAAGTCATAGGACACCACATACAATATGTCATAAAAAGGCTTGGTGAGGCCACTAAAGGTCAACCCATCACATTTGCAAAAAGTTTACTGAACAGTACAGAAGTATACTGAATATATAGATTTTTCTTAGCATGCAAGTAAATCTCCCTCTGGAGGGAAATAGGGATTATTAATAGCTATAGTGAGGGTAAAATAAAATAACAAAGCTCTAGTTTAAAATATTTAACAGTTGTTTCAAAATGCAGAAGTTTATTTCTCCATTGCATGTTCCTTTGAGCCATCAGGCATTTACATAATTTATTACTGTTTTGAAAAACGTCTTGGGATGGTACACTTAAAAAAGTTATTGTGTCCATAGTTAGTGGTATCATGAGATGTAAATAGTACATGTGACTGTATCTGAGTGCTTGATTATAATTATGGTGAAACAGAAACATCCTTTAACTTTGTAGGGAATTTAACAGAATGACAGTAAATATGCAACTTCTTTGTGTGATTTAAGGCTGTTGCTTTTTAGTGACATTTTTGTAACAGAATGACAAGCAATGCTGTACATTAGGAAAAGAAATTTGGCCTTCCAAAAACAGTCTGACATATTAGCATGTGGGATACAGTCGCCCAAGGGTGTCCTGATACAGTGTTATTAAAATTCAACAAGAGTTATGGAAGGAATAGATACTTTTTCATTCAAGTTTTGTTTTCTTCTGCTCCTTACTCTATTTTCCCTTGTGTCTTTACTTTTATTTCCTTTCTCTTTTTTGCTTGCCATGGTTTTACCCCAACTGGTCACTAAGTACCATGCAGCCACTCATAAGTCTCCCCCCACCCTGGTGGTATGGGGAGGACAATCAGGAAAAGAAAAATAATAATGGGTTCAGATAAAAACAATTTAATAATTGAAACAAATAAAATATAATATAATAATAATAATGGCAGCAAAAAGGTGAGAGAGACTTCCAGCCTTCTTGGTCTCTTTTGCTCTTCAGGACTGCCTCCCAAGGAACTCTCTCAACCAGTCTCCTTAACAGGCCAAAGTCTGCCCTCCAGAAGTCCCAGGTGGCAGTTCTGCTGACACCCCTCCTTATTTCTCTAAGAATTGAAAACTCAATGATCACTATACCCAAGACAGCCTCCAACCATCACATCACCCACCAGTCCTTCTCTGTTCACAAACAGCAAGTCCAGGGAGGTGATTTCCCTAGTTGGCTCCCTCACCAGCTGTGTCAGCAAGTTTTCTTCCACACACTCCAAGAATCTCCTAGGCTGTTTTGTCTCTGCTGCATTGTATTTCCAGCGGATATCTGGTAAATTGAAGTCCCCCAGGAGAATGAAGGCTAGCATTTGGGAGACTTCTCCCAGTTGCTTATAGAATATTTCATCTACCTCTTCATCCCAGTTGGGTGGTCTATAACAGACCCCCACCAGGATATCTGCCTTGATTGCCTTTCTCCTGGTTCTTACCCATAAACACTCAACTCTATTTGTGCCATCATCAAGCTCCAGACAATAAAAAAAACTTCATAACTTGAAAATGTTTTGACAGTCTCATGGAGGCTTTGGTGCAAAATATGCTTTAAATTAAATGAGGTAAACCTTATGTTCTCAGAGGAATGTACAAACACATGATAACTCCCATTACTGATGTGTTTCTCTCCTCTTTAGGTGTACTTAATGATCACAGATGCTGCAAGACACAAGCTCCTTGTACTAACTGGACAGTGCTTTGAAAACACAGGAGAACTCATTCTTCAGTCAGGGACCTTCTCCTTCAATAATTTTATTGAGATCTTCACAGATCAAGAGGTGTGTTCAGAAAAGTGTTTTCCATATATTGTCATGTGATGGCACAGGTTTTTAAGAGAATAAAATTTGGCCTCTTGTTAGAATTAGCATTAACTAAATAATGCTGATACTTTTTACTCTTCATTATGGGCTTTCTTTAAAGACATTCAATTTACTTCAGTTTTGACATAAATTGCTTTATAAAGGAATTGCATTTTAATTGGGGGAATTAAATTGTAATTTCAAGAAAGAGAAAACCAAGGAACATTTTGACAATGGAAGGAGACAGTGTTGTGTTTAAAATATAGAGCTTGTTTATCTAAGGTGCACATACAAAGCAGTTGAATTTGACAGCAGGTCCTTGCCTGATGAAAGTTAGTAATAAATAACATGAAATAAGACAGACTATCTGTTGGAATGGCTCTAGTTTTTTTGCACCGCCTACCTGTTTGACTTCTTTACTGTAGTGCTTAACATTTTGATAGTGAAATCTAAATCTTGTGGGATTTACAGAAGAAAAAAATAATAATGAAATATACCAATATTTAATGCTGTTTCTTTCATGACTTGTTATTTTGCTGTTTTTCTTAATGTATTGTCTAAATGTCCCTGTAGGGCAGGAACCTGTAATAAACAAGCTGTCACACTTAATTTGGCTGCTGTGTAAAGTATATATTTAAATAATCTGTATGGCTTTGTCCCTAGGTATTTAGTTCCCAAAATTAAATAGGAGCATTTCAGTGGAGTGGATTTTGAAAGTTCAGCACTGGCAAACGTTTGCATGAGTTCGAATGTGACCTTGTTCTATCCATTTGGGAACAGACTTTTTAGCAGGGCCTGTTGAAATAGGACAAGAAGTAATGTTTTTAAACTAAAAGAGGGTTGATTTAGATTAGATATAAGAAATAAATTTTTTTACAATGAGGATGTTGAAACACTGAAACACGTTGCCCAGAGAGGTTGTAGACCTTCTACAATAAGGTCACCCACCTAGTGGATGATGGGAAGGTGATGGATGCAGTTTTCCTGGATTTTAGTAAGACTTTTGATGCTGTCCCTTACAGCATCCTTCTGGAAAAGTTGCCCAGCTATGGGATGAGTGGGCTTATGGTGAACTGGGTGAAGAACTGGCTGAAGGGCATGGCTCAAAGGATATTAGTGAATGGGGCTATATCTGACTCGTGACCAGTCTCTAATGGTGTTCCTTAGGGCTCAGTTCTAGGGCCAATTCTGTTCAATATATTTATCAATTATCTCAATGGAGGAGTTAAATGCACCATTAGCAAATTTGCTGATGATACCAAACTGGGAGGTGCTGTTGACTCTCTTGAGGAACAAGAGGCCTTGCAGAGGAATCTACATAGATCAGAACATTGGGCAATGAAATTTAACAAGTCCAATTGCTGGATTTTGCACCTGGGATGGAGTAATGCCAGACATGAGTATAGATTGTGAGATGAGTGGCTGGAGAGCAGCCCTGCAGAAAGGGATCTGGGCATGCTGGTTGAGACAAGTTTCACTTCGTTTTTTTTCTGCTTTGCTTTTTCACAGAAGAGCCATGTGTGACATAGGAGTGAGATTTATACTCAAATCAAATGGTTTCAATGCAACAAAGATAGAAAACATGTATTTTCTGCTTTATTTAGTTATCGGTATGATAATTTTTCTTTCAATTACAGCCATTATCTTTGTTGCATTTTATTATTGGTAAGTGCTGAAAATAAATTATGTAACACAAAGAAAGGAAGCAAGACACACAGAGGGCCACAGAGATCTGCTGTAATCAAGCATCTTTTTTTATATATCCATTTCTTCTGATTCAGTTTGTAGTCCAAGACTTTCAAATTATTCAGCTGCATTCTAATTGATATTATCTTTATGAAAGCTACTCCTATAGCTTGAACTAGTAATTGAGTGTCTGCAAAGAAGGTTGGGGTATTTTGCATGATACCATGTGGCTATATTTTGCATTGAATTTTATGGCTGAATTAATTCTATAGTTTATATAATTTAGTGGTCTATTTGTTAAGTGCAAATAAAACAGAAATGAGCTATATTTTACCTATTTTCCTGTTAAAAAAAAAGTCAAATGTGTCTGTGGAACTGGAAGAACATAAAAAGTATATCATACCTTTTCATGTTTGTGTACTAATATGGAAACACCAAATATTGGTTTTTAGTTCAGACTGGAATAGAGCAATAGCTCTTCATACTATGGCATAGAACGTTTTGTTTTCTATGCCTTTATTTCAGTAAATCATGTTAGTACTAGCATGTTGTGGTTTAGGAATGGTACTCCCCAATTTAGTGCCCCCACCAAGACTCTCCCAAACCAGATGCCACCCTCTCCCCCTCCACCCCCACTGAAAGCACAAAAGGCAAAGATCATGGGTTGAGAAAAGAACAATATACTGGAAACAGCAATAAGATAAGAAAACTAATAGTAACAGCAAGAATATTAATAATAAAAGCTGTAAGACAAAGAAACTATTTACATAGAAAACTTTGACAAATACTAACTGACTCTTCCTGACCACATTTTTCTCCTGACTGAGAAAAGGTCACCCTCCTCCTCTGAAGCCAGAGACAGTCCCTTTCCCCTATCCCTAGCAATGACATGAGGTGGTATTGAATAACACTGGGATCTGGCCTTTCCCTCTCCTGACTACTGTAAAAAATTAGCCCTGTCCTGGCCTAAGCTAGAAAACATATTTTCAAACACTGTCAAAATTAATGGAGTTATTCTAGAATTTCACTTTTGTGATCCATGAGTTGAAAATAAAAATAATGACAAGATTGTTTTTAACCATAACACTTTTTTTCTGGCTCTTTCTTTATCATTGAATTTATATTTTTTTATTTATAAAACTATATATATAAAGCATTATAAATATATATTGCATAATATTATATATGCATTTTGATATATATTTGTCATAGCTTAACCCCAGCTGGCAACTAAGCCCCACATAGCGGCTTGCTCATTTCCCTCACAGTAGGATTGGTGAGACAGAGGGGGAAAATGCGAGAACTCGTGGGTTGAGATGAAGACAATTTAATAGGCAAAGCAAAATAAAGAATTAGTTCACTGCTTCCCATGGGCAGGCAGGTGTTCAGCCATTTCCAAGAAAGCAGGGATCTATCATGAGTAATGGTGACTTGGAAAGACAAATGCCATCACTCCAAACATCCTCCCATTTCTCTTTCCTTCCCTAGCTTTATATGCTGAGCATGACATATGATATGGAATGTCCCTTTGGTCACTTGGAGTCAGCTGCCCCAGCTGTGTCTCCTCCCAACTTCTTGTGCACCCACAGACTACTCATTGATGGTGTGATATGAGAAGCAGAAAAGGCCTTGATTCTATATAAGCCCGGCTCAGCAACAGCTAAAACATCCCTGTGTTATCAACACTTTTTTTTAGCACAAATCCAAAACACAGCTCTATATTGGCTAATATGAAAAAAATTAACTCTATCCCAGCCAAAACCAGAAAAATAGAACATATATAAATATATTTGCCTCACAATCTCACAAATACAAAACTTGCAACTTTTTGCATTTTTGATGGAATAAATAATTTCTTAGTGTTCTGGAAAACTGCCCTGCAGTCTGGGAGTCAGGAGCCAATCTGCAGAAAGAACTGTGATGTTGTGAAATACATGCTGTGTAAGGAGGGGATGCAAAAGGCAGCTGCTCCAGGAGGATGCTAGTCTCCTCTGGGCTGCAGTTATTCTTTCTGCCTGTTAAGAGGATGTGCTGTTTCCCTTAGATATTTTTCTGGCTCTTCTGAATGGACAGGGGCAGCAGGGAGACTTGTGAGCCAATGGCAGAGATAGTGGCAGCTCTGGCAACATTAGCTTCATAGTCCTCATCCCCCTAAATTAAAACTTGTACTGTTCTCCTATAAAGGGTAGAGGAGGCAGGGGAGAACATTGGGGTACTTTCCCCCTTTAGATAGCGAGGAAGGGACATTTCCTCATAAGTTGATCCTTTGTATTTTAAAAAATACAGTAGAAAACTAATTGTGATAGCTGGTTCCTTTAACTTCTAGGATAGGTACTCAACAGTGCAGAAGAAAATGAAAAAGGTTTTATCTGTTCAGGAACTATTATGTTCTGATATTAATTGTAATTAAAAAAGGAATTTACATGCATCTTGTGGTTTTGTTTTACAACCTTAGATTGGTGAATTATTGAGCACCACACACCCTGCCAACAAAGCCAGCTTAACTCTTTTCTGCCCTGAGGAAGGAGAATGGAAAAATTCTAACCTTGACAGACACAATCTTCAAGACTTTATTAACATTAAGCTCAACTCAGCTTCCATATTGCCCAAAATGGAAGGACTCTCTGAATTCACTGAGTATCTGTCAGAATCAGTAGAAGTGCCATCACCCTTTGACATTTTGGAACCTCCAACTTCAGGAGGCTTCTTGAAACTCTCCAAACCCTGCTGTTATATTTTCCCAGGTGGAAGAGGTGACTCTGCCTTGTTTGCAGTGAACGGATTCAACATGCTTATCAATGGAGGATCTGAAAGAAAATCTTGCTTTTGGAAACTTATCCGGCACTTGGACAGGTTAGATTCCATTCTACTCACTCACATTGGAGATGATAACCTGCCAGGAATCAATAGCATGCTTCAGCGAAAGATAGCTGAATTAGAAGAGGAACAGTCCCAAGGGTCTACTACCAACAGTGATTGGATGAAAAATCTGATCTCACCTGATTTAGGTGTTGTATTCTTTAATGTACCTGACAACCTGAAGAACCTGGATCCTAACTTTAGAGTAAATAGGAGTGTAGAAGAAGCTTGGTTTACTCTCCAGTATTTAAATAAATTGTCTATGAAACCAGAACCTCTTTTCAGAAACAGAGGAAATACCACTGACCCTGTAATTTTATTTCAGAAAATGGGAGTTGGCAAACTTGAGATGTATGTGCTTAATCCTATCAAAAACAGCAAAGAGATGCAATATTTTATGCAGCAGTGGAGTGGTACTAGCAAAGATAAAGCTGAATTCCTGCTACCAAATGGCCAAGAACTAGACATTCCATTATCCTGTTTCACCTCTGTCTCATCCCTCATTGTGTGGCATCCAGCTAATCCCATAGAAAAAATAATTCGAGTTCTGTTTCCTGGAAACAGCACACAATATAATATTCTAGAAGGGCTAGAAAAGCTCAAACACTTAGACTTTCTTAAACAACCAGTGGTTACACAAAAAGACCTAACTGGAAACATTGCTAGTCCAGCTGTGAAACAAGCAAAGTTGAAACAGCGAACAGACAGCAAGGAGAGTCTGAAGTCTGCTGAGAAGACACCAAGCAAGCCTGTCAGAAAGGAATCTAAAGAAGAAACACTGGAGCCTGCAAAACCTAGTCCAGCACCGGAAAAGCTTCAGAAATTGGAAAGCAAAGAAAAAGTTTCAGTTGAAAAAGAGAAACCAGCAAAAGGGGAGACCAAACCCATAGTGGCAGAAAAAGATGTTAAAAGTAAAGAAGAGCAAAAATCTGAAACTCCTGAAAAACAAGCTACAGATATAAAAGCAAAAGTGGCAAAGAACAAGCCAGTGAAAAAGGAAGTCAAAGCAAAACCTGAAGAAAAGAAAAAAGAAAAACCAAAGGAAAAGGTTTCTAAAAAGGAGGAGAAAACATCCATCAAAAAAGAAGAAAAACACATAAAAGAAGAGATCAAGCAAGAAGTTAAAAAAGAGGTGAAAAAGGAAGAGAAGGAAACTAAGAAGGAAGTCAAGAAAGAAGCTCCACCAAAGGAAGTTAAAAAAGAAGGTAAAAAAGAAGAGAAGGAAATTAAGAAGGAAAAAAAAGGAATCAGAAAAGACCTCAAGAAGGTTCCTAAAGAAACAAAGACATCTGCTGCTTCAACTGAAGTAAAAAAGCCAGCAGCAAAGACTAAACCACAAAAGAAGGAGGAACCTACTAAAAAAGAAGCCATATCTGCTGAAAAGCCAAAGGAAAAAGTCAAAATTAAGACTGTCAAGAAAGAGATTAAAGTCAGTGGAGTTCAAACTGCCCTTGCAACAGTTGGAGCCACTACCACAACTGTAGCAGCTGCAGAAATTGCAGCTAGTGGAAAAGAACTTCAAGTTGAGAGATCCCTTATGTCTTCACCAGAGGATTTAACAAAGGATTTTGAGGAATTAAAAGCTGAAGAAGATGAAACAATAAAAGAAACGAAACTTCAAGTTGCACTTATAGAGGATGAACTAAGACTCACTGGCATAGAACAAAAAGAGACCTTTGAAGTCCAAAAAGAAAAATTAGATCATGAAGGACCTGCTGAGTCCTCTGATGAAGGCATAACTACCACAGAGGCAGAGGGTGAGTGTGAACAAACACCCGAGGAATTGGAACCAGTAGAAAAGCACAGGGTTGATGACCATGCAAAGTTTGAAGATGAGGGAACTGTCTTGGAAGAATCATATGAAGGAGGAAATTATGAGGAAAAGGCAGAGACAGAGGAAGCTGAAGAGCGAGGTGAAGATGAGGAGGTAAAGACACAACTGGTCACTACAAAGCCATATATGAAGAAAGCAAGAAAAATGCAAGAGAGTTCAGAAGAAATAATGGCTGATATTAAAGCTGAAAAATATGTTGAAAAGGCAGATGATGAGGCATCAGATGAACAGGCTGAGGAAGATGGGGAAGAAGCAGTGGAAAAGGCAGAAACTGAAGAGACTGAAGAAGACAAGGAAGACAAAGCAAAAGACATTAAAGATGAAGAGGAGACTAGAAAAATAGAAGCTGAAGAAGATTGTATGATGGCTGTAGTAGACAAAGCTGCAGAAGCTGGTGAAGTTGAAGATAAATATGGCTTACTTATACCAACAAAACACTCAGAGCCTCAGTCTCCAGCAGTTGAACTGGCTTCTTCTGTCCATGAAGAAACATTACCTGGTGGCTCAGAAAATGAAGCTGCTGTTTCTGATGAAGAAGACAGAGAAAATCCACCTGAGGAATTCACTGCTACTTCAGGTTATACACAGTCTACCATCAAAATAGCCAGTGAACCAACTCCAATGGATGAAATGTCTATGCCCCAGGATGTCATGAGTGATGAAACTATCAACGAGGAAAGTGAGTCACCTTCTCAAGAGTATAGGTACATTACCAAGTATGAGACTTCATTGTACTCTCAAGAATTTGCTAGACCTAAACTTTCTCCACTTCCAGATGCTTTTAATGGATTATCAGAGGGATCCAAAACAGAGGCCACAGAAGGTAAAGATTATAATGCCTCAGCTTCTACCATCTCACCACCTTCATTAGAGGAAGACAAATTCTGTAAATCTGCATTTCAAGATGTATATTGTGAAAAAGGAAATGAAATACAAGGCACTGACAAATTAGAAATCAAAGAACCCTATCCAGAAGATGGTGGAAAACACAGTCCAGCCAAGAGCCCAGCTATGAGTTTATCCCCTTTATCACCTGTTGCCAAAACACTACTGAGTGAACACAGTGTGAACTTTTCACTTGCTCCCAATGAGATCAAAGTCTTGGCTGAGCCTGTCCCCATGGCTACATTGTCTGATGTACATCAAGAAGTTGCCAAAGAGCACTGTGCAAGCCCTGAAGATAAAACATTAGGAGTAGCATCTCCCTCACAGTCTGCTGCTGGTAGCGCTGGCCACACGCCTTATTATCAATCTCCCACTGATGAAAAATCCAGTCAGCTTCCCTCTGAAACCAGTGAAAAGTCAACAGAAGTTCCTGTTATCTTTGAACTCAGTGAAGACAAAGATGAGTCTGCCAAACCCAGAATTAGCCCTATGGATAAGCCTGTGCCAGATTCAGAATCTCCTATTGAAAAGGTTCTCTCGTGTCTACGGAGTCCACCACTGATAGGTTCCGAGGCCACTTATGATGCATTTTTGAGTGTTTATGTAAAGTCTCCCACCAAAGATTATGGAAATCCTTCTGAGGGGAAACCTGAAAAAAAAAAATCACCTGTTCAGATGAACCCAGCTTCTGAAGCCAGCTCTGTGAGCCTTTTCCAAGAAAAACAAGGTGAAAAAAATATGGAGTTTATGGTAATTAAGGAAAGTTTCAGCCTAGAAAGGAAATTGGATGATACAATACCCAGCAGCTCTCAGTATTCACTGGTCTTGGATCAGCGGAAGTTAGCAGGTGATCTCTCACCAACTCAAATAGATATCGGTCAGTTTGGTTCCTTAAAGGAAGACACCAAAATGTCAATTTCAGAAGGCACTGTTTCTGACACATCTGCAACTCCAGTTGATGAAGTTGTAGCAGAAGATACCTATTCTCATATAGGAGGAGTAGCTTCTGTCTCTACAGCATCTGTTGCTACTAGTTCATTTCCAGAACCAACTACTGATGATGTATCTCCTTCTTTGCATGCTGAGGTTGGATCCCCCCACTCCACTGAAGTTGATGATTCCCTTTCAGTGTCAGTTGTACAAACACCAACACTGTTTCAGGAAACAGACATGTCTCCATCTAAAGAAGAATGCCCAAGACCCATGTCAATTTCTCCACCAGATTTCTCACCTAAAACTACAAAATCAAGAAGCCCAGTGCACAGTCACAGATCTCCTGAGCAGTCAACTATGTCAGTAGAATTTGGTCATGAGTCCTCTGAGCAGTCTTTAACAATGGACTTTAGTAGGCAATCTCCAGACTATCCTACTGTAGGCACTAGTATATGCCATATGTCTGAAAATGGACTGACAGAAGTAGATTATAGCCCTTCAGATATACAGGAGCCTATTTTTGCATGGAAGACTTCTCCTGTGGAGCAATCATCTTACTCTCAGGAGAAGGATATTTCAGAAATTATTTCAGTTTCTCAAATTGAAGCTTCATCCTCAACTTCATCAGCTCATACACATTCCCAGTTAACTTCACCACTGCCAGAAGAAACCTTTTCAGGTGTTGTTCCACCCAGACATATGTCACTACATTCTTCTTTCACTTCACAAAAGATGCAGAGCCTAGGAGAAAAGCTTTCACCAAAGTCTGACCTGTCTCCATTAACTCCAAGGGAATCTTCTCGGTACTCTCCTAGTTTTCCAGATTCACCTCCTGCAATCACAGAAGCTGTGTCAGCTACTCACACATCTTCATTATCTTTGCAAGTGTCCTCTGTCAAAGCATTTAGTTACCAAGAACCCCTAACGAAACACAGTCCAGAACCTTTAATCAGCCCAGAAAAAAAAGATTTAGAGAAAAGCAGCAGGTCACCAGAAGAACCTAGTTATTCTTACAAGGTCTCAGAGAAAACTGTTGGGTTACCAGAGGATATTAGCTACTCCTATGAGGCACTTTCAACATCTAGATCACCTCAGTTCACAGATTATTCCTATGAGATGACAGAGAAAATCGTGTGGTCACCAGGAGTCACAGATTATTCCTATGAGATAATTGGGAAAGCTACCAGATCACCTGATGCTATGGATTACTCCTATGAGACAACAGGGAAAGCCTCCAACTCACCTGAAGCCACAGATTTCTCATTTGAGACAACTGGGAAAACCACCAGGTCATCCAAAGCTACTAGCTATTCCTATGAAGCAAGTGCACATTTTACTCCAGAAAAATCTTTAGCAGAATCCTGTCAAGATGTTGACTTATGCCTTGTGTCCTCCTGTGAATATAAACATCCTAAAACTGAACTTTCACCGTCGTTTATCAACCCAAATCCCCTTGAGTGGTTTGCAAGTGAGGAACAGTCTCAATATAAAAAGAAACCATTAACTCAATCTATGAGAGCTCAGCCACCTTCTGGGGGAAAGCAGCAAGGGTGGCAGTGTGATGAAACCCCTCTCACATCCATGAGTGAGTCTGCCCCATATCAGACTGACTCAGATGTTCCCCCTGAGACTGAGGAATGCCCTTCCATCACTGCAGATGCTAACATTGATTCTGAAGATGAGTCAGAAACCATTCTGACAGACAAGACAATTACATACAAACAAATTGACCCACCACCTGCCCCAATGCAGGATCACAGTCCTTCCCCTAGGCACCCTGACATCTCCATGGTTGATCCAGAGATTTTGCCCACTGATCAGAATTTGGGTAAACCTTTGAATAAGGACCTCAAAGAAAAGACAAAGACAAAAAAGCAGGGTACTAAGACCAAGTTGTCTTCTGCTTTTAAAAGAAGTGGTGGTAAATCAAAACAAGTGGCTTTGCCAAAACCAGCTGTAAAGGAATCTTTGGACAAAAATTCCAGAGTAGTTTTTCAAAAAAAGGAGTCTGTGGAGAAAGCATTCAAAAATATCTCTAACCCAGAAGTAAAGTCTCAAGTGGAAGAGAAAGATAAGGACACCAAGAATGCAGTAACTACAACAACATACAAGTCAGCAATGACTGCAACCACAGGTAAAGACAGGAGTTCCCTAATGTTAAGATTTTCTTTGTTGTTGCAGTGAAGTTAGGTTGCCTTTACATCAGCTGATAATGTGGTTGGTAGCAAACCCCCAAGGAAAGTTCATGTTTTAAATATAAATTTGGCATATTATAGCTACATTTAAATGAATGAAATTCACTAAAATAAATTTTGCAGTCTGATAAATCTGATGTGTCAGTTTGCTAAGATGAAAAGAATTAGAGAGGGTACATCAAATATAAAAAACTTAATACTGTCTAAATTGTTAACCAACTATTAGAATTAAAAGTACCACTTCTGTAGGTGAAATGAAATCAGTAGTGAACTAAATTACTTTATTTGTAGTAAGAATCAGATAGGCATAATATTCTTAACATAAAGTAATGCAATTCAATATTGTGAGAGGCATAGGTACAATCAGACATTGGATGCTTTTATTACTTTGCTTGAATAATTTTAAAAATAGTAATTTAAAAAAATTATAATAGCAGTAAGAGCATTTTTAATGAGCTGAGCATGTACATCACATAATCCAGTTGTGATCAGTTGACCTTGACTGGACACCAGGTGCCCACCAAGCTGCTCTGCCACTCCTCTTCCCAGCTGGACAGGGGAGAGAAAAACAGATGGAAAACTACTCGTATGTTTAGATAAGGCAGTTTACTAAAGTGAAAGCGAAAGCTTACACACACACAAGCAAAGAGAAAAAAAGAGTTTATTTTCTACTTCCCATCAGCAAATGATGTTCAGTCACTTTCCAGGAAGCAGGGCTTCAGCTCATGCAGCAGTTGCTCTGGAAGGCAAATATTGTAGAATAACCAATGGCCCCCTGTTCCTCCTCTCTCCCTTAGCTTTTTTATCTGAGCTGTTGTCAGATGGTATGGAATATCCCTTTGGTCAGTTTGAGTCAGCTATCCTAGTTGTGTCCCCTCCCAGGATCTTGCCCACTTCCAGCTCCTTGATGGGGGGGATGGAATGTTAGCGCTGACCTTGTGCCAGTGCTGCTCAGCAGTAGCCAAAACACTGGTATGTTGTCAACATCTTTCTAGCTGCAAATGCAAAGCACAACACTGTGTGGGCTGCTATGGAAAAATTAATTACAGCTCAGCCAGAACCAATACACAGTTAAAGTTTTACGCCATCAATGATGACTAAATATCCAGAAAACTAATGCAATTTTGAATTACTGTTGTGTATTCCAAGTAGTAATAAAATATGAATTAGATTACCAAAGGAGACATGCTAGTTTTTTGTTTCTGGCACATCTTAGAGTGTTTTGGGGATACTTGGATTTTTCTGATTTCAGGACTGATGTTTTATTTAAAACTTTTTACAAGGAGCAAGTATAGGATTCAGTACAAGCAAACCAGCATTCAGGTCTCTGTAGCTTCATCATTTTAAGTGGTCCACTATTCCTTTCTTACACAATTATTTGCATGTCGCTCCTAGTAGATGCTTTTCAAAGCAGCAGTGCAGTTCCTCATGCTGTACATTTCTCCAGCACTTCAGTTTTATATTAGATTCTTCTTCCTTGAGACATGCTTCTAAGGTATATTCTAGCACTGAATACAAGGGTCTATTTGATAATGACATTTAAGTGTAATGTCTAATAAATTATGCAATGTTAGCATATACAATTCAGAAAGATGTATCACAGAATTTTTATGATAAAAGATGATAATAGTTTTTTTTAATATACCCAATAGTTAAAACCTCTCTAATTCAGAAAATTTTATCATGTTATCATGCTTATTTGACATATTACCCTGTGATGAATGTCCTTCTAGACAATTGTATTGGATTTTCGTGTATTTTCAACAATTAATCCTAAATAGAGTACATTGTTCAGATAATTTAGTTTACCAAATGCGATGGGTTGATGCTGGCTAAATGTCAGTGCACCTAAAAAAATTATTTATTCATTTTCTTCTGCTATAGTTAAGCAGAGGAGGGGAAAAGAAAATTCATGGGGTGAGATAAGGATTAGGAGAAAAACACTTTAAGGGCAAAACAAGCTTAAAACTTTAAAAGGTATAAAGAAAATTTTATTAAGAGAATTAAAAGAGAATAATGAAAATTAAAAATAAACTCTTAGAACATCTTTTTCCTCCCCCTAGCCCTTCTTTCTTTCTCACCCACAGTGCAGGGAGACAAAACATGGAGTTTTCAGTTAGTTTGTCACTTCTAAAAATTTTTCGTCGGTTTACTTAGGGAGAGGAGTGTCTTTTGTTATGCCATGGGGTCTTTCCTACAGGAAACAATTCTCTGTGAACTTTTCCAACGTGGTTTTAATTTTCAAGGCTAAGAGTCCGCCCAGAACCTGCTTGCAATGTGAAGTCCCTCCCACAGCTTGCAGTCTTCCCATAACTGCTTTTCGTGGGCTGTTTAGCTTATGAGGTGCAGTTTTTAAGGATGAGTTGTTCTAGTATAAAAACAAGGGTCTTCTTCTATTTCTGAGAGCAAGGGTTTTCTTTCTCTCTGTTCAAGCCTCTCACCTGATCACAGCTTTTCAGTATCCACATGCTCCAGCACCAGTGCCTTTTTCTCATGGGCTGCAGGTGAATGATGCATCCTCCCCATGCACTTCATGAATTACAGATAAACAGTTTGTTGTATTGTAATCCTCACCACAGCTTACAGAAGAATCTCAGCTCCAATGCTCAGAGCACTTCCTCCTCCCCCCCTCTTTTGCACTGACCTTAGTGTCGCCATATTGTTCTCTTCATGTGTCTTCACTTTTTCCTTTTCTCAGTCTCGGGAGAGTATGAGTGTTAGTAGGTTCATTTGTTCTCAAGTTCTATCAATTGAAGCCATTTTTGTAGAGTTCTGCAGTGCTGAAAGGCTAACCTTGTCCAGGCTCTGCAATTGGGGAATTGCTAGCCGTGCTTCTCTCTCTATTGGTCATGTGGTCTCTGCTGGCACTGTGCAAGCCGTGCCAGCTGCTGGCTCCACTCGGCACCTTTTCTTCATGAGGGACGCAAAAAAAAGAAAAACTGCTGCAACCGCTTTTGTCTTTCTGTCCTCAGCATGACTGGTTAAAATCAGCTAAGTAAATAAAGTCCACTGTGAGCCATGCTGAGGCAACCACAGCTGTGCGGCACCGCCCCAGCTGCATGGTTGCTCGCAGCACCGGGATGGCCCCCAGCAACATGGCCCAACAACCACACTGGGATGATGTCCAGCGGCCCCCTCTAGGAAGGGGCCTCAGCCTGCCCCCCCACCCCTCTTTTGAGAGCAGGGAGCAAGACAGCTTCCAGCAAGTTTTCATTCTTAAATATGTTATCATGCAGGCATTATCAGCTTTTTTCTAATTGGCTTAGCACTGTGCTAATTCTCAGAGCTAGCCAGCGATTGGTTTTGCCAGGCACAGAGGAAGCTGATAGCAGCTTGTCATGGTTTGATGCTGGCGCAATGCCAGTGCCCCCATGAAAATACACTCTCCCTGGTTTCTGCTGTGAGATGTGACTAGGAATAAGCAAAGCAGGCCTCCACTTAGAAATAAAGAAAACTTTATTAACTACACTACAACTATAAGTAAAAAGAAACACACACACAGGGAAAATGAAAACCTTACAAATACATTTCCTCCTCCCCCCACCAAATTCCCAATACAATACATCTCCCAAATCACCGACTCTCGGTCCATCACCATCCTGTAGATAATCAATTCTCAATTCATCAAGAGGAGAGGAGTCTTTCTTGTGCCATAGTGACCTCTTCCTTTCATGTCCAGTGCTCTCACCACTGAACACGGACCAGAGCTGCTCCTAGGGTCATCTTTTAAGGATGCTTTGTCCCATTCTAAAAAGAGTGCAGTCTCAACTTTGGGACACCTGCTGTCCCCCCCAAATTTTCCACCCCCTGGGGCCGAGGGGTACCAACACTGAACCCTCCTGGTTCTGAGGCATTGCCACCCCTAGATGCAGTCTCTGTATCACAAGGAAACATGGTTCTGTCCATGGCTATACAAAAAGAGTCCAGCAAAAGCCACTCCATCATCTCTTCCCACTAAAATTCTTCTCTATTCTTCCAACATCTCTCACTGGCTCAGACCTTCAGCACACTTGCCCATTTCCTTCTTCATCTTCCACTCTATCTCCTAGGAAAGGTTAATGTTCTGTAAAGTTTTCATTGTCCAAAAAGGGGTTAAAAGCTCCCACAAACAGCCAGACACCTTCTTGCTGCACCCCCCCCTTCTTCTCCTTCTCAGCCGTGCTACTAGCACGTTTATCAAGTTTCAAGGTAACACAGTCACAAGCACAGGCTGCCTTCTCTCTCTGTCTCCCAGGGAGGAAGGGGGGGGGGGCTGCCCGATGGCTCCCGATCTCTCTCTCTTCCACCCTTCCACCCTCGGGGCCACAGGCCTACCTCTCCCAGGCCGCATGGCTTTTCCCCTCCCCCACCCAGCAGCAGACAGCTGGGCAGGGGAGGTCTGACCTGCTTCCCTCGCCAGAAACCCCAAGAGGACTTCCCTCGCGAGTGCTCTGCTTTTTAACCCCTGTGTTCTCAGAGGCGTATCCAAATCCCAGTGGCCAAATCAGGTGCCAATATTAAAATCTGTGCACCCATTGATTTGACCACAGCATCCCAGAAAACCTACTTCCTCTCAAACCACCACACAGCTCCTCACAAAAAAATCACTTCTATGGCTGACTTTTTTCCCTCTTCACCACAAATCAATTAATGCAAAACCAGCACACCAAACTTTATCCTCTGTAACATCATGAAGAGATCAATAAAACATAAATGGTGATCATCTAGATGAAATTACTGGTTGAATCCTGATTGTCATTTCACACCATGATCCGGTGTGCAGCAAAAGCAGCTATTTTTGACTTCTTAGAACAGATACTATGCTATGTATAGCAGAAAAACATGCTTCCCTCTACTTTTTGTGATAAGTGGCTATTTTGTATATGCAAATAAGGAACCACCAGGCAAACAAACATTTGTTCTCAGCTTCCTGCAGTAATTGCTTTAAGAAGTTTCTCTTTTCTTCCACATTCCACTTGGCCCCTCTTTCTCCTCACATGTAGTATCTCCCTGATGCACCTGTAAGACAGTTTGAACATATCAACAGCTACTATGTCTTGGTATATGCTGGTACCCCAAATCTCAGGACCACTTCTGCATTGCTCCCTGTGTGACCCTAGCTTTTATAATCATGCATACCTGAAACTTTCAATAAGTTGTACTTCTTAAATCAGAAAATAAAACTGCCATTTATTGAATGGTAATTCAGTAATCACAGCCCTGCATAGTAATTGTTGGATAATAGGATATTACTGGGAAAGGTTTGGTCAAATGTTGATTATATGGTAGTGAGGTTTTATTGTATTATATAGTTAGGTTTTTTTATTCAATTTTTTTTCCTCCCAGTCCAATTGCAATTGGCATACAACAAAGTTGGAGCGTGTTAGATGTAGGAGGATAATGGCAGAAGTGTTTCAGGGGACATAGAAGTACAATTGTAGCTATGTAATGTTTAACTAAGACAAGCAATTTTAAGAATATAATCTCAGCAGTTATAGTGGTAATTAACAAATGCATGTTTTAACAAGCCTGTGATATGTTCTTTTGTTGTTTGATTTCCAAAGGAGCTGGGAATAGTAAGTCATCAAAATCTACAGCAGTGCCTCCAGGACCTCCAATGTATTTGGATCTGGTGTACATTCCCAACCATAGCAATAGAAAGAATGTTGATGTTGAGTTTTTCAAGAGGGTGCGGTCCTCCTACTATGTGGTGAGCGGGAATGATTCTGCAGCTGAGGAGCCAAGCAGGGCTGTTCTGGACTCCCTGCTGGAGGGCAAGGCCCAGTGGGACAGTAATATGCAGGTAGGCTCTTCACTAGTATTTCTACTTGGAAATGTAATTTTCTCTGGAAAGCAACTCCAGGAAGCCAGAGTGCCTCTGGAGTGGGCAGCAGCTGCTGGAGACAGGAGTTCCCAGCTTGGACGCCTTGTTTCACAAGTGATGTGAGAGGACACCCAAGTGAGGAACAGAGGTGCACCATGCTCAAATGCTTCTCCATTTCTGACCCTTCTGACGTGTCTCTGGAGAATAAAACAGTTGGGAACTGGTTTAAAGGGCCATTTGTCTTTTTGATCTTGTTGCTATACCATATATGATCCAAGTTTGAAACCTTGAAGGTTTTAAGTAGGAAAGAAAAGTGAATGTTTCATGGTTTATGCCATCAACATGTACACATGTAAACTTCATGTGCCTTTCCAACATGAAAAATAAGTAAACAAAATATTTGGCCATAATCTGAAGAGCTATCAGTGCAGACTGCAGACTATAGACTGCTGCTTCTCTGGAAAGTTGCACTTCAGTACCTGTTACCGGGTTTGCATGAGTCTTTCAGGGGTGCAGAGAGAGATGAGAATCTTGACTCCATGATCAGAAGGCTGGATTTATTATTTTATGATATGAGTTACATTAAGACTATACTAAAAGGAATAGAGAGAAAAGTTCAGAAGCTGCTAAGCTAAGAATAGAATAGGAATGAATCAACAACGGAGCTCTCTCTGATTCTGTCCCAGAGAGAGCTTGTCTTTGATTGGCCCTTAATTGTAAACATGGAACATGGGCCAATCACAGGTGCACCTGTTGCATTCCACAGCAGCAGACAACCATTGTTTACAGTCTCTTTCTGGGGCCTCAGCCTTCCAGAAGAGGGAAAAATCCTAAAGAAAGGATTTTTCACAAAAGATGTCTGTGACAAGTACCTTAGAGAACCAAGGTTTTGTTTTGATAAACTGCTTCTTCTCAGTCATTTTATGTTATCTACATATTTATTTATTTTCCAAAAGGGAATCATAATTGTTGGCTAGAACTTCTTAAAAAGACATTTTTCTTATCAGTTGCTTCTGTTGTCCATTCCTCAGGAATTCTCTTTTGTGTTGCAGGTGACCTTAATCCCAACCCATGACTCGGAAGTGATGAGAGAATGGTACCAAGACACCCATGAGAAACAGCAGGACCTCAACATTATGGTTTTGGAAAGCAGCAGCACTGTTGTTATGCAAGATGAATCTTTTCCCGCATGCAAGATTGAACTGTAAGAACCAAACCATGCACTGCAAGAATAATTTTTGTCCAGAAATTCTTCAGTTTGAAAAACCTTTTCTAAAAATTTAACCCATCTATTTCAGCTGCTGAACTGTATACCTGCAAAATGCTATATCCTATCACAGTGATGCAAGTCACAAAGATTTTTTAGTCTTTGCTGATTGCTAAGGGAAATAACAGCATTCCCATAATAGGGTCAAACTTACTGTGAAAATACAGATCCAGTTTCATCTTCACTGAATGTTTGAAAACCATGTACTAGCAACTCCAAGTGACTTATGCCAGGTACAGGCATTTGCCCTCTAAAGAATTAAAAAGAGAGAAAAAGAGAGAAACGGGTAGGAGGAGAAAGTAATAAATAATTAATCTCCAGTAATCTCATGGCAACAGCTGTATCGCTTAATGTAGTTTATGCACTCACATGAAAAGGAGGTTTGAAATGTGTATAAATCTGAGCTATTGCAAAGGAGGTCCTTACTTTACAGAATTAAGTTAGCTGCAAAATAAGCAGAATGTGGCTAGGAAGTGACGTATAACCTAAATGCTCATTAGCAGCTTTCCACTTTAATTTGAACCCTGCATACTGACATTCCATAACAATCATAGGCCAAATATGCATGTAGTCTGAACCTCATTGTGAATTCTAAAACATTTACTTCAACATACAAAATTGCTGATCTAAGGCATGCTCCCAGCAAAAATCCACTCACTCCAGTCAGAACTGGCTAGTACACATGCCTAAACACCCATGTCCACTGTCAATTAACTAAAACAAAATACCAAAGCAGTTGGGAGTACATACAGTAGACAATTTGTCTTAGAAAGTGACTTGAATGTACAAAGAAACTTGATGCACTTATTTTTTAATGTTGACACAGCAAATTTGTAAAACACATGTGTAGGATCATAGTTGAACCAGTAAAGAAGTGTGAGTGTGCATGAAGTATATACTAGAAACCTATCTGACTGATCAAACAGCTTGGTGCTATGAAGTTCATATGTTAGTTCTGTGAACAAGTCATTGATGCACCAGGACAGCTCAACAAGGCAAGATGAGCATTTTTTTTTGAAAGGTTCTTTTGTACTGTGGAAGCAAGATTGAAGTGGTCTTCACTATCAGAGTTGCAAAACTTGGTAAAATATTCAGGATTATGAAGATTATCTGTGAGTCTGTACAGTATTCAATCTTCCTCTGTCTTGCCTTATTTGTTTAATTTAAAAGTATATATGGGTACAAACATACAGAAAACTTTTTTGAAGTGCTGCATGAACTTTTAATAGGTTTTTAACAAAAGTTTTCATTTAAAGGAAAATTCAAAGAAAATTTTTTTCAGGCCAAGGCAATTTTTTTAGCAGTCTTGCAAGATAAATTAATGTTATTTAAAGTTCTAGTGAGAATGGATATTGAGGTAAGATTTGTTGAAAATAGTCAACTGCCTTTTTGGAAGCAGGGGGGAAAGAGGTCCCTAGTGGAAAAATTAACCTATTGATGATGACAGAAAATGGGATTTGAAATGCTGATTGCCTAATATTTACAAGAGTGTAATCTATATGTTCAATGCCCTCAAGATCTTGAAAAAAGATAGAATAAATGGTAAGCTAAGTCCCTTTCCTCCTTCTGTCTCTTCCTTTCTCCCTTCCCTTCCTTCTTTAGACTGCTTGCAGCAGAACAGCATGTAGAACAGTTACGTAATTTAAGACAGTTTGAACTTTTTAGTCTCAGAAGTTATCCCAATTAAAAAGTCTTGTTACACTGTAGAATGTTTGCAAATCTGAATTTATAGAAGGTGTAAAGGCCTCCAAAATGAAAATGTGTGCTGATCTGTATGATTCACCATTATGGCTGGTATTAAGCTTCACAATGTAGTGAACTATGACCTCATTTTATTTTCTTTACTTAAAATTTGTTTTAATTTTACATTGTTAGGATATTTTTGTTTAATAGGTATGTGTTTACACTCCTAATTTTTATGAGGGTTTTTTTAGTATTGCTTTAGGGCCCTTTATATGTGGGTTCCTGAGGCCTATTTAAAGCTGTGAATTACTGTTTGTCCATTGTTGAGGTTTTTGATTTATTTTTAATGGCTTCTTTATTTTAGGTATCTCTAACAATGTTGTTTTATTTATTGCTATACCTTTTAAGTTATGAAGAACTTCACTCAGAATGACTATGGCAGAAAAAGCAGATGAAAATGTGTTGTGAAAACAAGCATGTTTGCTGGGGTCATTCACTTAAAATGGCTTTTGTAATACATAGTCTTCCAAGTTATAGGCAAGATGTTTGGAAGAATAATTGTGTTGCCATTGAGTTAGGAACGGCTGAAGGAAAGCAACATTGACTCCATGCTCAGGAGGCATAAAGTGAGCTTTATTAGGAACTTCACATATTTTGTAGGCAGGATTGTTCACCCAGAACCTGATTGGTTCTTAACAACACTCCTCACACCATTGGTTAATTAGGAACAACATCTTCTTTCCATAAACATCACGTACAAGTATTCCACATGTTCACAAACACCAGGTGCAGAGACTAAGATAAAAATTGTTTTAAGTTTTTTTTCTGGGTGTTCTCACAGCTTTCCCCAGGATGCTGCCTGGGAAAGCTATCTGTTTCTCTCTCTAAACTGTCGCATCCACATAATTGTACAATTTTAACAATTCTGCTTTGTCTACATTCTTATACAGGTCAGATTTCAAACTTTTTAAGTGGGTGGGAACTGTTTTTCTGATAATATCTGAAATGGTTTGTACCTCTGTTTTGGTAGAAAATATAAGTACAGCAATAGTCCTGAATCTAATCTCACTTATGCCACTTATTCTTGTGAATCAAGAGCAATTTCACTACAATCAGGGAAGTTACAGTCATTAGGTCCTACTGTAAATAAAATAAGAATCAAGCCTTAAATCTCTCCAAGCAAGTTTGTGATGGGTCAAGCATTTATTTCACTTTAAAAATAATAATTAGGCAGTTACAGCTGTTCTTAAAATATTTATTTATGTTTTGCTTTTACAATAATAATAAAAACCCTGTCTTACTATTCTGAGGTATTGTAATGCCTGTTCCATCCATTCCCTTTTAAATGTTAATCATGCCTGGGTGTAACACAGCAATGAACTCTTCCATGAGCTGCTCTTGCCTTTATGTCTTTCCTGCCTGTGGAATTAATTTAACTGTACTAATGACTACACAATTAGTTTAGAAACAGAAAAATGTTGCATGTACATTAATGATGAGTACTGTTGATCAGCATAGATTTCTACAAGCATGGTTTCTTATTGATTAATTATAAAGATTCAATAGGACACACCTTTTAAATGATGGTATTACTCATAACAGAATCCCCAGTCATGATCTTCGTGCTATTACTATACTGCTTCATAAAATTCAATGAAGAATTATTTTAGAGGTTACACCCCACTCCTGAACTTAGACAGGGCCTCTCTTTCATGCCTTTTCAAAGTCCTGTGGTGGGCCTGTCTTCGTTGATGTCTAATTTTCATGCCATCTTTCATAAAATTAATTTTTGATTTTTTCTTATGATCTTGCATGCTCTGGTGAGGGGAGCTAACTATATATATGAATTGGTTTTTTTAATTGTCTACAATAGCTTATGCATTTTAGGAGAGTTCTGGTACTCATTTACTAAGATTGAATCAATTTTTTAATTTGAATTTTCAATCCATCCTACCACAAGAAAATCATCTCCAAAGAACACTTACTGTGCATATAGGATATTTCTGTCATATACTTCTCTTTGTTCATCTGTTGCAAAAGGTTCTTGCTATGATGTTTTGAGAGAAATAGTAAGTTCATTTCAAATAAAAAAAAGTCTGTTGTGAATTTACAAAAAAAATCTAAAAAAAAGTAACTAGATAAAACAATGGCATAAAAATTCTGAAACAAAAAAAAATGAGAAAAAACCCAGATCTGCTCTAGACTATCTAGGAGGTCCAGATGGCAGAGCTAACTCTGCAGGACTGGGCTGAAATCACAACTGTAAAAGAGGAAATCTGAAATATGCTTTCACGCATTTGCATGCAGTCATCATCTTCCAAACCATGGAAAGAAATAGTCTTCTTGCTGGCTGAGAAGCACCTCACATACCTCCTCTCTTGTTCTGAATGGTGTTTGTGTCAGTCTGCAGCTATGTATGATATTATGTCTTATAATTCTGCATCACTTCTATCCAGTAATATCTAATGTAGAAAATTAGCTTTCAGTGAAAGTAATACGCAATGCTTTTATTATATTTGTGTGCAATGTCCCCTCTTCCATTGAGCATATTTGATGTAAAAGAAAAAATACAGTTCCACAATAAAATACAAAAGTAGTAAAGCAGTATTGACCTTTCTGATTGTTGTGTATGTAAGTACTTATAAGTTTTCCCTTTCCTTCAGTCATGATTACCTACTATTTGGGCTTTTTCTCAAGAGTTCAATGACTATTTAAATGCTAGATAAGCACTAATCTTTATTTGGAAACTGAAAAATAAATTATAAAAATTAGTTTTATCTCTTGTGATGAAAAACATTACCATTTTAACATTGCCAAACTCAATTTATTATGCCTAGTGTTGTTCATCCTTTGCCTGTTTTGAGAATAGAATTCCTGTGGAAAGTCAACACACTCTCACAGACATGCTTTGAGCCTCCTGCTGGGAGAGACAGAGATATCATAAAAGCGCAGCCTTGTAATAATCTGTGGGTGGGCAAAGCCTTTTGATATATTGAGGCAGGCAGCAGGCCCCCCTGCCCCTGCCTGCCCTTCACTAGGATGAACTGAGCCTGTGTCCCCATGTGTCTGCTGCCAGGCATTGTTAGCAAGGTAATGAAATAAATCTACTCTTTGCATTTCAGCTGTGGTTTGGTGGTTGCCTTAGTTACCTGTATGTGTCGATTCACACAGTGCACATTCAAGGGGCTCTATCAGAGATGATACCATATAAAACCACATCGCTGAGGCAAGCAGCTCCCGTGCTGGCATGATCCACAACAGACTGCT